GCCCTTGAAGTGTACTGCTAATACCCTTGAAATGTACTGCTAATGCACTTGAAATACACTATTAATGCCATTGAAAAGGAGTCCTAATGCACTTGAAATCTATTGTTAATGCCCTTGAAACTAGTGTAAAATTTAACAAATAAAATCGAAAAACTACTATAAAATGCAAAGAGAAAAAAGATGATCAAAGATCGTGGAGATGGATTGTGGAACATGGACGATGCCTTGGTTTTTGTGAAGTGTCTGTTTTTTAGTTATTTCTATTGGGTTTAGGGCGATGCATTTGTTTGGGTTTGTTATTTTATTTTAGGGAGCTAATTTTCTCCCCCCCCCCCCTTTTATTTCCACTTATACTCCCTTTTGCTTTTTAATCAATTTTGTTCTTTCTCTTTCCTATTCTACCCTTACCTTACAATTCTCTTTAATAAACATGTATAATCACTTACTGATATTATGAAAGAATAAAAATATGAGACTATTATGCATACCTTGCTATTTGCATATCTAAGCTCTTAATGATTGTTCGGTTAATAGCATTCTTTGGTTCTTCTACTATTAGCTCAAAAAAATCATTATCTATTAACTACAAGAAGGATAAATAGTACTCACATACTTGGTAAAAAAAAACTAAGAATTTGGTGCCCAAATACTCACATTTCTGTCCATTTTCCAGATTTTTTTTTTGTTTTTTGTTTTAATTTTTGTTAACTTTCCTTAATTTCACTTTTCAAAACCTTAATGTAGAGTAATAGTAGAATAGGAAAGAGAAAGAACAAAAAAGAACAACATTGATAAATGGCCAGTTTAGGATTGATGTCACTTTTAAAAAAAGTTGCTTCTGCTATGCTTTGAAAATAATTAGCTGTAAAGTAAAGCAACTACATGTTTGGTAAACAATATTTTTAAAGTGCTGTTAGTACAAAAAGCAGTGTCAAAACCATTTGGTAAATTTTAATATAAAAATGTTGTAACTGTGAATAATTACTAAAGTAGACTGTTGAAAGTGTTATGCGCTAATCATATGGTGGTAGTAGTGGTGGTGGTGAAAGAGATGGAGGTGAAGGTGGTGGTGAAAGAGGTGGTGGTGGTGGAGGTGGTGATGGTGGGGAAGATGGAGAAGGATGTGGTGGTGGTGGTGGAGGTGGTGGTAGTGATGAAGGTTGAGGTAGTAGTTGCGATAGTGGTGGTGCGATGGTGGTTACGGAGGTGGTGGTAGTGATAAAGGTTGAGGTAGTAGTTCTGATAGTGGTGGTGAGGATGGTGGTTACAGAGGTGATAGTATTGAACGTTGAGGATGAGATGGTGGTGGCGGTGACGGTGGCGGCATGATGGTGTTGGTTATTGGTGGCGGAGGTTGAGGATGTGGTGGTTGTGATAGTGATGGTGGCAGAGAAGAAAGTGGTGGTGGCAGTGGCGGTCGGTGGTGGTGGAGATGGTGGCAGCATAGTGGTGGTGGTGGAGGTGGTGATGGTGGGGAAGATGGAGAAGGATGTGGTG